AGGGGGGACACGGGACATGGGGGGATTTGGGGGTCCCTTGGGGGGGTCAGGACGGTTGTGGGGTGCTGGAGGGATACAGGCGGGTCTAGGGGGGCTGTAGGGGTCAAGCAGGTTTTGGGGTGCGGGGGCTATGGGGGTCTTGGGGAGCTCTGGGAGGGGGGTGCAGGGGTCAGGCTGGTTATGGGGGATTTGGGGGTCCCTGGAGGAGCCCGTGGTAGCTCAGTCTTGTCGTGGGGTGCGGCGTCATAGGAGGACTTGGGGTGCTCTTGGGGCGCATAGGGGGGCTGGTTGTGGGGTTAGGGGCTTGCAGCGGGACACGGGGTGCTGTGGGGTGGTGGGTCCGCAGTGGGGTCAGGCTGGGTGTGGGGTGGTGACCTGGGGCTGGGGCAGCCAGGGGCACCCGTAGAGGTCAAGCTGGGTGTGAGGGGGCTCAGGGTGCTGGGGGGGGTGGGGGGGGGGTTGGGGGGATCGGGGGTGCGGGAGGTGGGGAGGGGTGGGGCGAGGGGGTTGTGGGGAAATTGGGCGTGTCCAGGGGCTGGGGGAGGCCGGAGAGGCACCTGCAGTGCTGTCAGGAAACGTACGGGGCAGGAGGGAAGTAGGGTAGGGGGGTCCCCAATGGGATCAGGCTGGGTGTAGGGGGAATGGGGTGCAATGGGGCTGTCCCAGGGACCCTGAGTGGGGCTGACGGGGAGGATGTGGGGTGGCAGGGCTGGGGGGGCAGCAGCGGGGCCCACAGTGGGCTCACACTCAGGAGGTGACTGGGGCCCTGTCCCACGGTGGGTGCCAACCCCGGGACGGGGGCTTTCCCCCCGTGGTGTTGTTCCCGCCGGAGCAGCGGGGGGGACAGGTGGGTGCAGACCCGGGGAGAGGTGTGTCCCCTGACCCCCCGTGTCCCACCCTGGGAGGCAGCAGCTCCCACTCTGGCACCCGGGTCCGGCTCTTGGCCCTGGTTTGGTGCTGCCGGGGCTTTGCCCGGGGTGCAGCAGCTCCACCTGAGCTTCGAGAGAGCTCTGCCCCTCTCCCTAAGACCCGTCTGTGCCCGCCGAGACGTTTCTCAAAGCCGAGCTGGGGGTGCCAGGGCCCTGCTCCTGCCGTCCGTCCCTGTCCTGGCGGCTTCTCCTGCCGTCGGTCCCTGTCCCGGCTCACCCGGGCAGTGCTAAAATCTCCCCATCGACTCCCCTGCGGCCCTGGGAGGGGGGGGGGAGGGTGATGTCGCCACGTCCCCTCCTCGACGGGAACGTTTTGCGCTGTTACAGCCCAGAGGCGCGTGTGGCGTCCCCGGCGGTTCCTGCAATCCCTTCCCTTCCCGAATTTCTCCCTCCTGGCAGCTGTGGTTGGTGGGTGGGACGAGGGGCTGGTGTAAACCTGGTTTGAACCCGGTGGCAGGTCGCTGCCATGTGCTGTGCCGGTGGCGTTTGCCTTCCCCGGTGGCCGGCGGGGTCCGAGCGGCCGGCGGGGTGGCAGGGGGACAGCGACAATCTTTAGGGCTATCTTTAGGGCTGTGTTGCAATGGAGGGGTGTGCCTTGGCTCGGCGCTGCCGGCAGCCGCCTCCTCGCCCGGGGATTGATTTACGCCGAGGCTCCCGCTCGGGGAAAACCAGCGTTTGCTCCGCGGTTTGTGCGAGCGGGGCGGCCGCAGTGGGAATGTTGGGCCGAGCCGGGGGTCGGGGGCTCACGTCGGCGACACAAGGTGTGCGGAGCCGAGGTTCGGGGAGCACCATCGGCCCCGGGCACTGTCACACCTCACACGTGCTCTGTCACTGGCCCGGCAGCGGGACCGGCCGAGCCGGAGCGAACGGCCGGGATGGGGAAGGCGGACGGTGCGGGGAATCTCTGCTGCCTCGTGGGAGAGGAGCCGCCCTGGGGCGCGGGAGCAAGTTGGGTTCTTACGAGGTGCAAACTTCCCCGTCTCCCTGCTCCTCCCTTTCAAGGCTCTAAGGCAGGCACGGATGTGGCTCTGGGAGAGCCGGGCTCACTCCCCTCCGCGTCCTCTTCGTGCCGGAGTAACCGGCGCCTGCACCAGAGTTGAGGTGACACGGGACCCAAGTTCCGTGTTTGGCTTAATCCTTCTTAATGCCACTGCCCTGCTCATGCCCGCTGTGCCCGTGGTGATGCAGCGGTACCGTGTCTGTCCCTGAGAGGAGGCAGCCGAAACTCGTGGAGCAGTTTGCATCCCCCCCAGCTGCGGGGCCCGTGTAGATGTGAATCTCCCCCAGCTCTTGGCGCTGGCAGCCCCTCAGCTTCTCTCCCGCAGTGAGGCACACGCCGCTTCTGCCTGTGATGATGGTAACGGCGAGTCAGCCAAAAGT